CAAAGAACTTATGAGGGAAAAGGATGCAAAGCAAACTTCTAACTAACAAAACAGAACAGTAAATATGAAAGATGAATGACATCTTATCAAAAGAGACCCTTCGATTTTCACTTGCTATTTGTCCCTGTAATATGGTGCACTGGAGCTCTCTAAAGATTAATGGAGTTCCGATTACATGCCACTGTTGTTTCACTTATCATAATTTGTACATGGCAGTGTAAGTTCCTTGTATTCATGACTTTCCCAGTTTACCCAGAGGGAATATCTTTGGAACTTCCTACTTCTAACAAACAGGCAGTACTTAGTTTAATGATTAAAGCTTGCCACGCTCGTTAAGTGAAAATGGACATATGCTGTAAAAGCGAGCAGGCTACCAACGCTGTGGGATCAACTGACACTCTTATGCCTTGATAGGACCAATGAAAAACTGTAATTAGAAATACTAAAATTTCAGCTTCTTCAGTGTATTACACCTGTGCTGGATTGTGACCGGAACTCGCATACAGAGTTGGGTACATAAATAGAAACATTCTTCCTATTCCATTTGGAGATGAATTTTACATTTTTTGTTCATGTGATTGAACTGGAAATGATGCATCAACATTGAATGAATCTCAGTTTTTAAAACTCATTCCTTTCAAGGTTAAGAACTCATCAGTGCTTCTTGATTTGAACATTCTGAATAACAACATTACTTGTTGTCGCATTATCCAATATACAATCCTTGGTGTAAAATCCTCTTGATGTCTGATTACTCTTCATAAGGACCTCATGCTGATTCATTTCAAACCGTGAATTACCTTTAATTCACAGCTTGAACATGCTGCCAAATTTTGTTTTCCATGCTCCCAGGTGCCTGTCCCTGACACAGTGGAGAACTTCCAAAAAGCCATTAGATACTTATGAAAAGCAGTTAGATGTCACGAAGCACATTTCCATTTTCAAACACGCTTCCATCAAGTATTACAATAATCTTTGGGATTAGAAAAGTATTAGTATTTACTGAAACGTTTTTAGAACCACAAAGTGAAATCCTGGCCCAACTGAAATCAGTGGTGAGCCACCTTTGAAAAATCCTTGCTGAAAAATCACATAAAGGGTTTCAGCTGCTTGTTTTGTTTCTCAGCCCACCTTATTTAGCTGTTCTTTAGCCCCCCCCCCAGGTTGTGTATCATTAAGTATGATGGACAATGAAAACTCTATAAAGATAAAATAAGTTATTTTTGTCTGATTCATAAAAATATGCTGCTCCGAGTTTTTAATGGTTTCCGGTAGTTCACCGAGCCCGTGAGAAGGGCCTTTTAATACTGTATTAATACAGTAAGTATAGGAAGTAATTTTATGACAGGGGAAGAATACCATTATGATTACATTCTTCTTTTCAGCTAGGCTTTTATGGAAACTACACAAGACTAGTCTGCAGAATGATTTTGAAACACAGGATGTGCTTGATTAAAAAGGTTCTGGGTAGTTTCCAACTGGACAGAGGCCAAATGCTAACAACCAAAACAGAACAAAAGGACTGGATGTTTGAGGATGACATACTTGCAACGGTAATTATATAACAGAAATCTAAGTCGCGAGCTGAGTTCATACCCTCAAATTCATGCAAGTTGACAGAAAATCCTTCTCAGTGCAATTAGTGGCACCTTATCTGTTCCTGCTTACTATGCTTCACAATAAACTAATCAGAGTAGACTGGCTGAAAACTGACTGCACAATACCCAATGGAGATTTACAGTGAATTTGAAATTAAAAAAAGGGAAGCCAAGAGCTGTAGTTTTAGCTTGATTTCAACTATAACAATTCAACACAGTACACACACATACACATACCAGTGTTCAAAATTTCATTTTCAACACCTTTGAATAGAAATTAGGATCTGAGCTTAGTTACATGTACTCATTTACAACATAGGTGCAGAATTTAGACACAATCCCAACTACTCTACCTTCAATTTTACCTGATGCAAAGATTTGAGGATTGGGTTTCTCCAGCATGTGGATGTAATAAAGCACATTTAAATAGTACAAAAAAAGATGAAATTTGCATTTCAGAAAGCTTTACTCAGACCAGAAGTCATGCATCTCGCATCCCCCTACAAAAGCAAGTAGTTGGCCAATTAATCCACCTTGCAGTGTGTTGCCTCCATTCTTTCCCCTAGAAGCATGTACCTGAAAGGTTATCTTGCAAAGATCATACATCCCTTGGTCTGATCTTCCATAATGTCAGTGTTTCTACACCTTAATTCTGTAATGGCATACAGGCAGCTTGGCTGCTGGAGCAGAATACAGCATCATGAAGGCAAAGTGTCTTTGTTCTGCACTCATTCTTCTACTAGTCATGCTATAACCCAGCGATATGGTGAATGCAAGCACATTACTATCAATTCCTATGGATTTTTAACAAAGCCAACAGAATCTATAAGACTGTCACTAGGACTAATTGAAATGGAAAATACAACTTAAGTTTCACTTGAATTGCGCACAAACTTCAAAAAGTTGGGGAATATCTAGATATGTGTCCAGGTTAAAAGGTCTTTAACAAAGCATACAGATGAACAAACCCAAATCCAGTCAGATTTGATCAAGCTGAAATAGAGAGAAGAGATCCCATTGACAAAGTAGATAAGGAACTGGTGGGAGATACAGTTTTGAAGTCAGTAAGATCATGCTGTGTGGTTGACTGTAGCAACAAACGTTACTGGGGATAAGTTGGATTGTAATTTCACTCATATGCCCTGAAACTGTCCAATGTCAGAAAGATTAAATCCTTCTTAATATAACTGCAATCTGATAAATACTTATTATTAAAATACACAATGACTGCAGGAGCTGCCCATCTATCAGGGTGTACTTGGATCACACTATCCAGCTCTGCTTGACACCATTACGACTTTCTGCCCCACTCTCTGCTTTAATTTCATTATGTCCTCAAGTACTGTAATTCCCAGCGAAGGTGGTGGTAACTGCACACGCAGATCTAAAGAAACAAATTGGCCTCGTAATACCAAGTCTCACAGTGGACTGCCTTCTAACCTCCCAAAGCCCTATGGAAATTCTTAGAAGCTGCCTTAACAATTTTTCTCCAGTAAAAGAGAAAAAGTGATAGTAATGGGCTAGCTGATCTTCATTTGGAAGCTAAAAATAAAAGTAGCTTTATTACAGCTCTGATCTCTCATGTGTAAAATCTATCACCTACCATAAGAAGGCAGTTCATTGCAGCAGAAATCTGATTGATAGTACTGGAACTTTAGATCAAGCAGCAGAACAGAGAGCAACTGGTTCATAAAATGTACTCAGTGTCTTCGGGTTTTATATCAGGCTTCCTATAGAGAGCTTTGGTCCCATTAAATGCACTATATACCACTGAGCTCTGAAGCACTGTTCTTTTGAAATTCAGCTTATAACTATAAACCATGATTGACAAGTCTATTACTGTTGGTTACAAACTATTGAAATATTGTATTTTATGGTATACTCACTAAAATATTTTTCACAGTGGAATCCAAATACACTTGGCTTTAGGAGAAAAATCATTTTAAGATGTAATAATATTTTTTTACTTTTTTTTTTTTACTACAGAATGTGCTTGATGTTAGGTTTGGATCACTTAGATGTTCTGAAACATGAATGAACCCATTCTGTTATCAAGAATAGTTGGTCTAGTTGGCTAGATTCTTTAAAAACCAAGCCATTAATGGAAATCAAATAGCAAAGGGTGAAATCTAATTTGTTACTAAGTTTCATAATTAAACACCATTCATGCAAATAACTTATCATTAGCATTCCTATCCAATTCTCATTCAATCTGAAGAAAAAAGAATTTAATTTTAAAATTGAATTAGTCATTTAAGTGTAATTTTACTCAACAAACTTTATTTGACTGAGTACTTCCACAACTTGCATTTATGAGTAAAGAACTGGACCTTCAGAGCCTGGTGAGTACATCACTGGATTCGGCACCCACATCTAGTCTAGTCCTGCATCTCTTACATGGTCACAGACAAATCAATGAACTGAAACAAGTCCATTACTGTACAAAGACTTACACTAAGAATTAATATATTTAAATTCATTTTAAAAACCTATGTAGGTATCTACACATTGGTTTTTCTTCCCCATAGGGATTTAAAATTGTGTCCTTAGTAGATTAAGAGGAACCACTAGAATAATTCTGAAGTCATTTTAAATTAACATATTTTATTTACACAAATGTCAGTTAAGCTAGTGCAGTTGTTCTGCATTCAGCAGTTTAAAACACTTGAACGCTAAAAAAAATAGGAGCTCTGAATTGAAATCAGACCCACACATTCTCGTAAGTATAAAACCAACAACCTACTTTTCAGTCATTATTTAAATCCTGTTTGTAAATTACTTTGAGATCCTGGGGAAATGTAAAAAATCAGCTCAGTCTCAACTCACTGCTACATTACTACAACCAGAAAAGCACCGAAGAAAAATGGATGAACACAATGGAAAATTAGCTCTTCCACAATTTTCAACTGTCATATTTGTAGATCATCTGTGATTTTCAGCTGTTTCAAAGTGTATGAAACTCAAGACCAGCTTTTCAACACCAGCTAGAAGAATCATTCTGTATGATGTGTTTTACTCTCTTTCACTATGTGAATGTTAAAATTCCTGCATCGTCTGTTCATTGGCTTGCATTTTCTATTGTAAGAGGCTTAGTATCTGATGAGAGAAGCATAAAAGTGATTTAATTTTGGCAAGCTGTACAACTAAAATCAGCATTATTTCTGCTTAATAAACTCATCTTTCACACATACCTCTGTTAGCTAATGCTTAAAAAGAAGAAACAGTAATAAGCACTGAAAACATAAACCTGGTTTATGGCTAATTTTTAAGGACTACTGAGAACACCTGAACACCAGGACAAGATTATGAGCAGAACTAGATTTTAGTTACCTTTGGAGAAATAAGCTTATTCTTTATGATAAATTTAAAACGAGATTTAAAGCTGGAAATAATAATACTTACGACTTTTGTGGCACTGACTTAGTTGCAACTTTCCCTGCTGGATCACTCCACTCTGCAAACAAAGGAAAAACATTTTCAAATGTCAAAAGATTACTGTAGAATTAAAATGCACCCAAAGCTGTCAGCCCATCTAATTATACTTGGTATCACAACATGCCACAATGCATAATATGTAATAAAAAACGGAACTGATCTGCTTTAGCACCATAGAAATTAATTTTTTAGCCTTTGTTTTAATGATGTTAAGAGGAAAAAAAAAAATGAACCCAACCCTGATTGTAGGACCACGATGATAAAGACCTACTTTGTACATTGTATCCTGAGGTCAGATGTTGAGAGTCCTACAAAGAAGAACACACAAAATGTCAGCATTAGTTAAATAAGATGAAGAAGGTAAGATGTATCTTAACTTGCTAGATTAAGGGCACTGGCATTGCACAAAGAGGGAAGGAGATGGTACAGGGAAGGGATCATGTGATTGTTAAGCCAGCGCCAGTGACATTAGTTTAAAAAAACATTAACTGTGGAGACAGAGCATCGCTGAGGGACCCTTTCCCAGTTCAGACAAGAGCATATCCTCAGCTGCTGTAAATCTACATGCCCCCTTTATGGAGACACTGCACAGATTTATACCCGCAGCACTCCTCGCCTTTTCTGGACGTGGCCATGGATGTGTGCATGAGCCGTCTATGATGTACAATTTAGGCCACAGCACGATTGCAACTACGCATTAAATTCAGCACCACTGCCTTTTTTTGATCTCACTGCTTGGAAATACAGTAACCTTCTTTGATAGTCACCGTTTTTATTTGGACTGTGACACAGGATTTGATGAAGACTTAGGAAGCAGATCTTCACCTGATGGAAACTGGTCCCAATCCAGTGAAATCAATGGAAGCGCAACAACTTGAAACTGGCAAAGAATCTGGCTTGTAATACGCAGCATGCTAATGCCAGGATTCTTGTTGGCTGACAATAACTAAGCTGCTTACTTAACGCCGCGGTGTTTTCTTGCTTAGTTTTTCTCTAGGCTTTATAGTCCACAGTGATTGTAATCAGCTTTCCTTCCAAGCAGAGTTTGATCATTGGAAATTGAGGTGTTATTTACAACCTCATCTTACAGCCAGGCACTACTTTGCTGGAAGTGTTAGTTCTGTAGGATGTTAAAGTCATTAAAGCCCTCACTGCACTTCCTCTTAGGGCATTATTAGCTCCTAATATTATATTGTGCTGTCAGTCAGTCCCTTGTGAAGTAAATCATGCCCTAAGAGTAAACATGGCACTTCAAATTTGAATGTCAAAGGGATAAATTGTTCTGATAAGTTTCGCCTTTGTTATCACACTCTTCGATATACATTTCTTATGAGGATATTTTTTTTTTTAATAGTTAAATTGAGAACTTCTAATAGCACCCGTCTCTGGTTTATATGGCTGCACAATCTAGCAGCCTTATGTCTAAGGTCTGTAATTTGGCTAGCTAGAATTGATTTAATGTGATGTTATGAAGAGACATTTTTGTTGTACTTTTTTAAGTAAAATCAGCAAACTTGGAAACATTCATATGCTTGCCTATTTCCTAAACTGTTAGCTAAAAAAAAAAAGTAATTTATATTTTGAAGTGATATGGTCAAGAATTTTAGGATCAACATTTAACACACCCAGAAATTAACTTTGATGTGGATCTTAAAAGTTCAAAGCAAAGTTAATAGAAATAGAAAAGCAAAACAAACTTTCAGATTCTCTGAACCTATGCTTATACTGCTGCCAATGGAGACAGTGGCAGCCAGCAGGACTCAGACCACTTTCTGTAGGGCCCAGCAAAACCAGAGTACTAAAGTAAGGGATGGTATAAATTAAAAAAAAATACAGCTTCCAGTGGGCAAAACCCTCTACTCTCACTGTATTCACACAGGTCAGACTCCACTTTCACCTAAATGGGTTTAACTGACTTCAACCCAATTTGCACTGAGGATTATACCCTTGTATGATTATGACTTCAGGTGCTTAATGCTGCAGCAGTTAACTGCAGTGACATTGGCAGTGCTAGAGCAGGAACAATCACATTCCATTAAAATAAGGCATTCTGGGAAATGGTTTTGTTTTTTTAAGGAGCCACAGATACTGCTAATTTCATATGGCTTCTAATTAAGTATGGCAGCTGCATTTCAGACAGTGGAATATCTGCCAAACAGATAAAATCAGTATGAGGAAAATAACATTGCAGTTTCTAAAACAGGATAAGATTCCTTGAACCATAATGTCAAGCAGTACCAGTTTTATAAGATATTTTCCAAGGTCCTGCCTTTAGAAATTTTTTTTTCTATAGCTCCATGTCAGACTGGTGCTGATTTCCCACCCTGGGGAAGTTCTCCCCTTTCCCAAACATCATCAGCTGACAGTTGTCCGGGTCCCACCACAAGATACTTCCAGCAATAATTGCCCTGGGTACGAGCTCGATCTCTAACAGTGCTGCCAGAATGATGGCTAGAAGGCAACAATGGAATTTGGGCTAAAGACACATTCAAATCACACAACATCACAGCTCCCTGCGCGTTAGGTGACCTGCAGGTACTCTCCAGGCACGTGGTGCTTTTCACGTGGCAAGTGCTGAGCGTGTGCTTTGCACGAGGCCAACACTGAGGATGGCGTTGTGCAGCTTCGCGTGCCGCTGGCGCGTGTTCACAGACAGATGTCACAGCACTGTTCACATGAGGGACCGCAATTTGACCATGCAGCCCAAACCTCATCATGCAAGCAATCACTAAGTAGGAACAAATGACCCTTTCAGCCATTGCATTGCACAAATAATAATGGAAGAAAAATAAACAAATAAAATTTATTGTACTTGATGTGAAAAGATTCCTAACAACAGAGATAAAATTCACTTTGCCTCCGCTGTTACTTGTGCGGCTTTAAATAAGCAGTCCTACTAGGAACAATAGTCTAATTGGGAATTTCCAACTAAAAATAGTCTTAGAAATTTTTGAAAAAGGAACCAATTACAAAAATAAACTTTCCAGTGAAGAACACTCAACAGAACAGAATGTTAACCAGGTCACTGGTAATAGCCTACTTGTACCTTGCTTGGGATAGAAAACTTGGTCTGCTCAGCTTTGCCAGGAGTGTGAATAGCAGTAAGAGGAGGAGGCCAGGAATGGGTCATCTCCTAGGGAAGAAAAAAAACATGTTTTTGAAAACAAATTCATGTACATGAAGAAGAAACAGGAAAAAATGATCACGTATTCTCCACTGAGCCTGGAGATGCAATTGCTTAAGGAAGCATCACCACACCCATCCTTGGGTGGTAGATGAACACCTTAACCACCCAACAGGCAGCACTTCTTGGGAACAAGGGCAAGGACAGGTTTTATTCTTGAAAATTTTGATCATCTGTTCTTCATCAGGTGGCAGCTGACTCCACCTCCATGGTCAGCCTGTCGAGCTGTACGAACGAAGCCGTATCATAGGTACAGAACAGAGTTTTACCTGCAAAGTCCAACCAGGAAGGGGATCCCTCCTGTACTGCACTGGTTGCAATCTTATAGAGGATTGCATGGTGGCAAAATGCAACCCTATTCAAGATTGCGTAGTGGCAAAACAAACCAGAAGCAGGTCTAGAATAAGCTGCAGTGGGCTTGCAGCATGAATGCCTGGTGTAGAAGAGTGTGGGGACAGTGTCCTACGCGCCAAAGCACGTTCTCATGGCACTGGCCATGGGCACTCACTTTGGATGCAATGTCACAGCATCAGAGCGCTATCGATTCCAGTTTAAAAAGAGGGACTGAGAGATTAGATGATTTGCACAGGATTACACAGAAAGCCCCTGCTTAACTAGGAAATCCAAGTCTCTGGTGAAGACCTCCTACCAGACCATCTAAGCAACACACCCATTTTCTGTATCAGCGTGTTAACTCGTCACTTGCACACACGTTCCGACTGTCTTCAAAGCAACCACCTGGGTGCCCATGGCTGTGAAATACAAGCAGGAGAGACAGGGCACATGCTGCTTTTTCACCCCGAGGCCTGGAACTGCCGCCTCACTGAGCTCGGTGGGAGCAGAATCGGGGCCTCTGTTCAGAGGAGGGGGAAAAATCAGTAAAACAGAGAAAATTCAAAAGTGTTGCTTCAGGTAGAGCTTGTAAATGCCCTTCTAATGAGTGTGTTTTATGGTATATGCTGCTCCATTCTCTCTTATATTTGTTTTGAATTTAATAAATATTCAGAGAGGCAGTAATACTTGTCTCTGGCAATCTGTTACATCTTTGTCTTGGTTGTTTTTCTTTGCCTACAAAGCTCAGAAAAGATTCTTTCTTGAGACAAGGGAGACAAGGAGCAAAACAGGGTCTGATCTAGGAAATTATGCAGGCAATGGCCATAATCCTGACTGCTGTAAACTAAACTTCCCAGCTGCTATTTCACACTGGTCAAGCCCAGGGCCAGCCACAACAAAGCTTATAAACACACAAGTTTCTGTAGGTAACACAGCAACTGCTGTAAACACTCTGCAAATAAAAATATAAGATCATACAATTAATTAAAGAAAATATAACTGTTGTCAAAAGGGCAGTGTGGTGGGTGCATTTGGGCTAAAGACGTGGTCTGGGTGGCTACTGCTGGGTGCTAATGTGTAATTCACTGGAGACACAGCCAGCAAGTTTCAGGTCTCCAGTTGTCCATCACAAATCATGTGTCCTACAGAAGGTCAGGAGAAAGGAAAAATGTGCACCCTGGTCTTCAGTCAATGGGACAGGTGGACATGTAAACTTCCCCCAAGCTCCTGTTAGACACTGGTATTTTATTAGGGCCCATCAAATTTCCACATTTAGCAATGCTGCTTCTGCAGCACCCCGCAAGGGACAGAGCCCAGGAATGACCACTAGGGAGAGAAGCCCTCACCCAGTCCTGACAGAGGCTTATCTAAAGGGTCACATAGCTACAGGCGGTGCAGCCTAGGGCTAAGCTTGCTAGCTCCTTGTGCAGATGACCCAGGGACAGGGGAGGTTGCAGATGTCTCTGTACTCCTGAAAGCTTTCAAATTTCTGCCTGTGGAGCACAGGACTCGTTTTCATTGCACGAAGCCCAACGGTGGCAATGGGGAGGAAAAAGGCAGCTCACAAACAGCTCATCTCTCCCAGTGGGAGAGGCTGCGGCAGCGCAGTGCAGCGACGAGAAGCACACGATTATATTCCACTGACTGTTTGACCTCGGTGCAGAGGAAGGCAGGAAAAGATTTAAGCATCCGGTGAACTTTTCTATGAGATAATATAATCCAAATCCTGCGTGCCTCTGCCAAAGCCTATGCCATAGAAGTTGCTTTGTGGCAAATCTCTTCATAGCAAAATGATGAAACAGAGTCTGTATCGCATAATTAACAGAGGGATGGGCAGCCTGATTGAAGGCAGAAATGAAGCGTATTCTAGAACTGCAATTACAGGCTTGACCTCAGTCTCTTCCCGTCCACGCATAAAAGGCACGACAGAGAGCCTAGGATTCACGGGAAGGTGATACCAGCAAATATTTAAGAATATCCACTGTCAAAATGTGTCTAGTGTCCACTGCCTACCAACTCGGCAGGCTGAAGTGTAAGCAAATCTAGTCATCTCCCTGATGATGTCCCCAGTGCACACCTGAACATAAAACAGTGGGAAAAGGAAAAATGAGTCTGCTATTATTTAAGGAAATTCAATTACAAGGTAAGAAATCCTGAATCCACTGAGGTCAGAGGCAAAAGTCAACTTCAGTGAGGTTAAGACTATCCAATCTCTGTGTTTACAGAGTGACCTTGTGAGCATCAAAGTCTATTACAAAGGTACCAGCTAGCTACCTTGAAGCATTTTGCTTCAATTATAACTGTAATAAAAATTATTGGATAGAAAATTCCAGATAGGATCACACATGCAAAACAACACAAGTGTTCAAACCGAAGTGTAAATACTGTGTGAAGCAGTGAGGAAGTACAGAGCTACTTACAGAAACATGCCTGCATCTACCTACTGATAGGTGCCACAGCACTGCTGACCAAAAGACCTTGAATGGTCGTACAGAAAGTTTTGAGTTTACTTCAAAACATGTGAGCAGCAACCCCACACTGACCACCACACAGCCGCAGGTTATACTGGCGCAGAGCACTGCTGAGCTACAGAATGACATGGAAAAACAGCACTGCGCTGTTTTCAGCGAAGGGTCCAAATCCCCACCCCATGTCCTGCAGAGATGGGATCAGCTGCCCTAACTCTCTCCTACTCTGTTCCTTAAGCACATGCACAGTACTCTGGAGATCCAGAAGAAAGGATGTCATTTGTTTAATCATTCACATGACTTCACCATTCTTTGCTATGCCTCAGTTTCTTTTGGAGGTCCCTTATCTTTAAGTACTTGCTAAGCTCTATTTTGTTTAACTTGTGAAATCTGATATATCTGCCCTCTAACATGTTATGACTATAAAGAACCACACAGACAGTGTGTGTGTTGTGTTGCATCCATTAAGATGTGTATATAAATATCTTGGTTTGTAAATACCTGGGAAAATAGGCAGGGAATTGTATTTTTTTTTTTCCAGGAAAAGTTAAAAAACTTTAATCAATCCAAATTTGGAAGTATTTAGAAATTCCTGGAAGTAACAATAATAAAACCGAGCATATGAAATGCTTTAAGGAGGAATTTAATGGAAACAAAGTAATCCCACAAAATTGAGTTAGGATTTATTTTCACATGGTTTGGACTTAAAATAATTCCAAAATCATGTTAACTGTTGGAGTGGGTAGATGGCTGCTATGGAAGCATGCATTTTTTTTATAGACCTGGAGATTAAATGAGAAAGTAAACCTGCACAGTTTGTTGGCTTAAAAGTCACTGTGCTCCTCTGATGTAGTAACATCAAGCATCCTCCTTTCTGAAAATTATTTAAACATTGTTTTAATTGACTCCATGTGCTTTATTTATTAGAGCTAGGCACGCTTGTCTCTTCAGCTCACTCTGCTTTTTTCAGCTACAAAAGCCCTCAGGTAAGTAACTAAGAAGGACACATGCAGATGTGATCTAATGAATCACCAAAAATACAAATAATCCAAGCAAACTTTTTAAGGGCTGCAGAGGTACAGGGTCAAATCACGATAATAAATGGAAGGAGAGAACTGGGGAAGGATTTAAAATTGCAAGCTTCTAAGGAAAGGCCAGAGCAAGAGAATTGAGTACAGGGTATATGGGGCAGATGGTAAATAGCTTTACAAAACCAGGCCCTAAAATTAATAGCTGTCTTTAAGATTTATTTCCTTTCTCTGTATTTCATTTTTCCATCATTTCCTTCTTGTTCAAAAGAAAGTGTGCAGTGTTTTTAAATACAGATAAAGTACTGAGCCAGGCTCTAAGAGGTCATCATGGAAAAAAGCAGCTAGACTGTGTACTCTGCGATCCTACTGAGGCAGCTTCCCTTCCTACAGTGAGGTCTAAACTGCTCAGCCTGATCTAATTTGAAGTCTCCCAAGATATAGGGCTCATGCTACTTCCCTTGGGAGAATTGAGGGGAGACATGAGAACAGCCTTCAATTACAGAAATAACTGTTGCTAAAGGAGAGAATAATCTGTTCTCCAGTTTTATGGTGGGTATGAACTTAAACTGCAGCCAGAATGGTTCCAGTTAGACATAGAAAAAGCTCACTAATGGTAAGGACCATGTAGCACTGAAACAGATTGCTCAGACAGCTACACAGACTCCATCTTTGCAGGAACACACTTAAGAACAGATTAGCACGCATCAGTCAGGAATGGCTTAGGCAGAATTGATTCCTGCATTGGGACAGGGATGTGCAGTAGGATGAGATTTCTAAGACCTGTCCCAGCCCTTTTTCTTGTTCTGCAGTTTGACAGATCTCTGTTGGCCAAACGCCACCCTTAGTGCCTCTCACGTGGACAGTCGATCCACAAAGAGGTAGAAGAAAAAAGCAACAATCCCAGTGTTTTTCTTCTCTGGCATTAGAGTCCATAAAGGCAGTTTCAGGACTGACACTTTGTCCACATCCTTAGAGAGCAGCCACAGGAGCACCAGCCCTGAACACGTGGCTAGCCATGAGCGCAATCAGAGGCCACTGCTGCTGAAGAGACCTTATCTGTGGTAGTCCTTCTGTCAACTGCCCTTCTCAGACCTTTTAACTCTTGGCTAAATCTTTTGCTTTAAACTTTGTCCAATTTTTGATTATATAGTATGTTAAAGTTGCATTCAGAAAAAATTAATATATGATGAATAGATGTTCCAAGGTTATTACAAACTTGATGTTACAGCTGGTGCTAAGCAACCTACTGCCTTGATGGAATAAAGATAGCCAAGTGATCTACCATTTATTAAAGACTCTATTAATGATTTATTAATGTTTTATTAACTATTTATCAATGCAACCTTAATAAAAAGCAAGTCTTGTTTCACAGTATCTTTCTGGTTTCTGCATTTATACAAACCTGATCAAACTCTCTCTGCTAGGAAGCCAGTAATGCATGAGGGGCAGCCACATTTTATGTGTGATGCATATGGAATTCAAAAACATCTCAGAGCCCATTTCATCTTTGTGGAAAAGGCAAAGGAAAGAATGAATATATAGATATATATTTATACATGTACAAGCAAATGACACTAAAACGTAAAGGAACACAAAGGCAATAAACCTATGGGTTGTTTTTCCTTCATATTCCTTATGAAGGAATAGAAAATTTCCATGAGCAGTTGGGAAGATCCTGACCAGAATCTGGCCTGCTTTATCTTGGGCCAAAGGCTTTCTGAGGAAGGGATCTTGATGCCTTGTCTGTATTGACAGGGACATGATAGATAAATTCATGGATATGCATTTGATTATCATGTTTCAGCACTTCAAAAAAAATTCTCAGCACCTTTTTCCTGACAGGAGAAAGAGAAAAAAAAAAAAAAGACCTCATTGATGGCTTGATGGCCTCCAAAAGGAAGACAGTTTTCCTGGTATGAATGTTAAGGCAGAAAATGTTTTACTCATGCATATGTTTTCGGAAATTTATTACCAGTGGCTGGTGCCCAGTACACAGTTTTGGAGGAACAATGTGGTGGCAT